CTGTTGTTCACAGGGTGCTGTCACTGTGGATTGTGGCCCCTCTGCTGGCTCCTCTTGGGTCCCTTGGGGAGCCACCCAGAGTTTAAGAAGAAAGCAGGTGACCGTGGACAGGCCAATACAAAAGTTCAAGATGCTGGAACTGCTGGAACCACTTTTTGCCAAGTTCCAATCTGACCTTCAAGTCAAGGATTTCAGACACTCACAGAGAAGGCAAACACATGGCATGGTCTCTGCCAACCCTCAGAGTGGGGTGTTGGGTAGCTCAGCTGGCAGTGTGGGGGGACAGTGTCCCGGAAATGAGGACTGAGACACAACAGACAGGATTGTGGGCCTCCGGGTGTCAGGCACATCTGGTGTTGGACGCCAAGGCTGGCCCCTCACAGGCCCCCTCACAGGAGGAATCCGTGGGGCCTATTCCTGTCCCAGGGCCCAGCACATATGGGGGAGCCGATCCACTCTTTCCCTCATCTCTCCTCCCGCCCAGATCCCTCCCGGAACCAGTGGGTGTCCTCGGGGCTGGGTCTCCCCAGTCTGCCTTCTCAGTTTGGGAACACACATACACGGGATGTGTCCGTTGCTCTCGGTGGGCAGCTTTCCAAGCCTGGTCCCATGCACAGTTCTAATAACTGAGAGTGGGCATTAGCTCCTGCTTTTCCATCTCGTGTTCATTTTACCCCCACGATCCAGCACCCAAGTTTCTTGGTGGAAGGGAAACCGTGGACATACTGCCAGTGGGCACAATTCTGATCAATGCCTGGCAGCGGGAAGGGTTAGCTCACAGACCCTGGAGTTGCCTGAGCCCCGTCTCTCTGCCCATCCCCAGCCCAGGGCTCGGTGCCCTCTGTCCTTGCTCATTCAATCTTCACAAGAGCTTCGAGGGGGAGGCAGGGAGAGTCCCTTCTTACCCAGGAAGAGGCTCTGCACTCACCAACTGTATGTCCACCAGCTCTTTTCACACCGACTTTTCACACCGACTCTTCACAAACTGACAGTTCACCAAACTACTCCGCATCCTCCAACTCTGCACAAACCCTCTCCGCTCCCACCAACTCCTCACCTACTGACTCCGAACCCTCCAACTCCACGCCTACCCACTCCACAACCACCGGCTGCACCTAACATTCCACTGTCTCCATGCCCACCATGCCAAACGGCTCTAGGCCCCGCATTCTAAATGGCTCTGCCAGCGGCTCAGACCCCTCTCCCTACAAAACTTCAGATTTAGCTGGGCATATAAAACATAAAGAAACATAAAGGTTAATTTATACACCCTATATCATTATAAATGGAAACTAACCACTTCACATTTTGAAAAATACTTTTTTCCCATCAGCCAAATTACAAAGATTTGACCCATTCCTTTAAGGGAACAACACATTCACTTTATTTTGTGAAGTCTTACCTAGAGACCTCAGCTCGGGAATTCTTCTCCCCATCCACTGTGAAGAGTTCAGACATAGAACCCTGAAGTCCACCAGTCAACTGCCTAAAAAACAATTTGACAGACCACTAACCAATATGTGTTTTATAAGAAAAATGACCAAAGTAATGCTATATATTTGGAAAATACATTATTTATTTAAAAATATATCTTTAGCCGAAACCTGTTTGGCTCAGTGGATAGAGCATCGGCCTGTGGACTGAAAGGTCCCAGGTTCGATTCAGGTCAAGGGCATGTACTTTGGTTGTGGGCACATCCCCAGTAGGTGTGCAAGAGGCAGCTGACCGATTATTCTCTCTAATCAATGTTTCTAACTCACCCTTTCTCTTCCTCTCTATAAAAAATCAATAAAATATATATTTTTATCTTTCCCCATAGCTGGGGAAAGAAGTCCCTATGGGCCGGGCCATAAGAACTAGTACTGTAAAATCCAGTGTGGATTGGGGCTGAGTGACACACAGGCTGCTGGAGACCCAGCTGCTCCTCTTAAAAGGCCAGCAGCACAACTGAATTTACAAGCTCCCACTGGCGCTGAGCTCCAGTGCCTCACAAGGCTCTGGGGACCCAGACAAATACGGGGAGAAACTGGACTGTCTGGCATCGGGGCAGGAATGTGGGGGCGGCTTTCTTCCAGATGGAGATGCTAGTAGTGGTCATTATTCTGTGCTGGAACCTCCCTGGAGCAGGGCTGACTGGCAGCCATTTCTGTTTGCTCTACCCTGAATATTCCCTTAGACCTCTCCTCACCCAATTTACAACCCCATCGAAGCTGTGAGCAACGGTTATTATATATAAATGGCCTGTCCTTGTTCAGTTTAAAACTTGTCTACCAAGCTGCAGCTGGAACAGGAAACTCCAAAGCTATCAATAAAAATCCCAAGGCTGGCACCAGCACCAGCCTGCCTTGCTTCACAGCTGGGCCTCATCTTGGCATCTCCAAAGCCAAACAAAGAAGAGGAATCTGCAAATATCTCTGTAGTTTCTGCTGATTGGCCTGAGGCAGTGGCTGACTTGGCACCTCCTTGGAGATCCAAGAGTCAGTGTACCCAGTGGTCAGCGTGAGACCAGACCAGATTACAACCCTTCACATGCATAAGTGACATCCTCAAGGGGCAGACTCACTGAGCACCAAAGCCCCACAGAAGTAAGTCCTGCCCCATAAGGATGTCTCCTGCACAGCAGCTCTTCCACTGTATACCCAGCTAGTCCGCACAGCCAATTGACCTGGAAGGTAGTTCCTCCCATTAATACCAACAGCAATCAAGGCTTAACTACAACAATACTGTGCACACAGCCCTCAAAGGAGTACACCAAGAGTGTCCCATCTCAGATGATTGGGCTGAGTCACTAGGTCCTATAGGAAACCTACCAACCCAGGGCACTCTATCAATTCAAAGAGATTTAGCAGCTACCCAATACATAGAAACAAACACAGGATAGCAACCAAAATGCAGAGACAAAGAAACATGTCACAAATGAAAGAAATTGAAGAAAGCAAAATAGTGCATATAAAGGTCAAAACCACAGTTATAATAGTTCCTCTAGAAACCTCTGAGGAACTATTGAGACTTTCAAAGAACTTAGTGAGAATGCAAAAAAAAAAAAAAAAAAAAAAAAGAAAAGAAAAGGACCAGTTGGAAATTATGTATACATGGACTAAAATAAAGAATCCCAAGAATGAAATCAAAGTTCTGAAATATGAGAAAGCAAAAAACACCAACCAGAAAAACAAAAAGAAAAAAGAATCCAAAAATATAAAGATAGTGTAAGGAGTATCTAGGACAACCTCAAGCATACCACTATCCGAATTATGAGGGTGCCAGAAGAAGAGAGAGAACAAGATATTGAAAACATATTTGCAGAAATAATGACAGAACACTTCCATACTTAGTGAAAGAATCTGACTTACAAGTCCAGGAAGCACAGAGAGTCCCAAGCAAGAGAAACCCAAAGAGGGCCACACCAAGACACATCATAATTAAAATGCCAAGGGCAAAAGACAAAGAGAGAATCTTTTTTAATTCAATAAATACTTATTGTTCAGATTATTACAATTGTTTCCCCTTTTCCCCCCATAGCTCCTCTCCACCCAGTTCCCACCCCATCCTCTGCCTTTACCTCCCCACCGCTGTCCTCATCCTTAGGTGTACATTTTTTGTCCAGTCTCTTCCCACACCTCCGAAGAATTGTCAGTCCACTCCCTTTCTATGCCCCTGATTCTTTTATATTCACCAATTTATTCTGTTCATCAGATTTTTTTTATTCACTTTATTTTTATTTTTATTTTATTTTTTTCATTTTTATTTTTTAGAGTGGAATCATAAATCAAAAACTGAAGATTTATTGCTGTGAAAACAAACCTGTAGTACAGTAGATGAATCTTGGGTATTAAGCATCATCAGTTGAATCAAGTTAAGTTGAAAACCTGGTAAGAAATCTGCGTGTGCGTGTGAGAAGTCTGTAAGCCAGCTGACCCAAGAGCGACTGAGATATCTGACTGTTGAGTGAGACCAGACATTATTTTAAATCTCCATTTTTGAAAGGCAATTAAAAATTACAATTCCAACAGCCCACAAACCATATTTTAAAAATCGTAGAAAGCAATTAAAACTACTTTCAAAGAGCCTTTTTCCCCAGCTCAATTTCAGCACCCCAAGGAAAAATAAAAAAGCATCCATGACTATCACAGATGAAAACAAAATGAACGTCACTGGAATCAGTTGTTTTTCCCCACCAAGGTATAAAATCTATATAGAAATTGGATACTATACTATAACAAATTGTACTTCTCATAGTTCTGTTTTAATTTCCTTTAAACCCTGTTTAATATAGTTTGTGTTTTTTTTTGTTGTAAAAATGTTGTTTTCATGATTCTGAACCTGGTTCCAGTTCTTTTCATATATTTTTATATCAATCTTTAATATACTGGCCGAGACCGATTTGGCTCAATGGATAGAGCATCGGCTTGGGGACTGAAGGGTCCCAGGTTCGATTCTGGTCAAGGGCATGTACCTTGGTTGCGGGCATATCCCCAGTAGGGGGTGTGCAAGAGGCAGCTGATCGATGACTCTCTCTCATCGATGTTTCTAACTCTCTACCTCTCTCTCTTCCTCTATGTACAAAATCAATAAAATTATATATATATATATATATATATATATATATATATATATATTTATTTATTTAATATACTGGCTACCAGTTCTATCTTGGGAATTCTTCATGGTGACAGCATTTCCAATGGAAATCACTGCTGTGCGAGCAGACCCTCAGAGGTGCAGCTTTCCGGAAGCACATGTTGATTATTTCACTGTCGGAATAGTCTTTACAATGACTCTTGACGAAAGCCTCTTAGACCTTGTAAACATCAGTGTGCACAGTCTCGCTACGTGGTAGGAGGCTGGTTCACGGCACGAGAGGAGTGAGTCTAGTCTTACTGGCTGAGAACCCTCACCTGCAGGAGGGAGCACTGTCCCCTTTTTGCTACTTAAGAATGTGGCAGAAATGTGTGCTGAGGTAGCCCAGTCAACCCTTATTGATTCCGTGTGTGAATTTGGTCTCAGAATATTTCCAGAAGGGTGACGTTGCGGAGAAGCCACTGCTGGGACCAGGCTCCGCTGCAGTCTCTGATGCTGGGCACCTGGCTGTCCTCCTCCATGGCTTTGTCCAGGCACTGGTTGCTGTTCACATGCTGCAGGGTCAGTTTCAGGGGATCATACTCCCAAAGTTGGTTGCCTTTTAGGTGATGGCATTTGAGCATTGTGACTGGGCCGTTGAGTTTGGAGACATCCAAGCAAAGGTCATACGTCCTAATTTCTTTGTTGGCAGTGTAAGAGAAAACCTGATTACCTCCCATACCATGACAGTTAAAGATTCCAACTTTTTCATTCTCTTTTCTAGCCATGTTATCAAGACATTGATTTGTTTCCACATTGCGTATCTCTCCCAAAGAGAAATAGTGACGTGGAATCTGCGAATCAGGATAAATATTCTCTAGGTACCAAGAGAAAGGTTTGCACTGGAGTTTGTGTCTTAGACCAAGTCTTGATGTTATATCTCCATAATCTACCTTTGTAACACCTGGAGAAATTATATAGAAGAAATTCTTGAATTCATCCATCCACACTTCTGCGAGGCGTCTGTTATTTTTATTGATAATCTGTCCTGTGTCTCCCGGAAACGTGTAAGGTGTCGCTTTCCGAAACACATGTCCAACATGTGAGCAAGTAACGATCTCCAGGGTGCCTCCCCATTGCCAAATCCTAAAGGAAATTTCTAGGTTTTCTCCTCCCCAGATATCCATTCTAGCATCGTATGTTCCAATCTCCTGGAAGTAATCTCTGTCTACTGAAAACAGGCCTCCAGCCATGGTAGGCGTTCTGACAGGAAGAGTCCGGTCACCTTTCCTTCTGTCCATTTCTCTCTGGGGAACAGGGTACCAGCGAAAACTGAGCTTCCAATTGAATCCCCCATAGGTCATATCAGAACTCGCCATGTATTCAAAAGTATCATCACTGATCACGTCGATGATGGGACAGACCACCGTTTTCCTGTCCTGTTTGATCCTGGCTAAGAGAAGCTCCAGCCACCCCACTGTACACTCACAGTGAGCGTCTAAGAACGTGATCACTTGGCCTTTGGACACAGTGGCTCCTTTTAACCTGGCTCTAATCAATCCAGAACGTTGTTTCATTCGAATTACATGAACTGGTACTTTTAATTTTTTCACGTAACTCTCCAGAGGTCTTTTCAAAAAGTCTCTTTCACTGGCATCATCTACTAGAACAATTTCTTCTAGCATGTGTCTTGGTAAGCGATTTATTTTTATTTTTTTATTATTTTTTAAAAATATATTTTATTGATTTTTCACAGAGAGGAAGAGAGGGGGATAGTTAGAAACATCGATGAGAGAGAATCATCGATCAGCTGCCTCTTGCACACCCCCTACTGGAGATGTGCCCGCAACTCAGGTACATGCCCTTGACTGGAATTGAACCCGGGACCTTTCAGTCTGCAGGCCGACGCTCTATCCACTGAGCCAAACCGGTCCTGGCTTGGTAAGCGATCTATGACACTATGGATTTATGGCACTATCGCAGAAGTGTGCTTCAGGCCTCATTGTGGAAAACAATCACCACACTTGTTGTAGGAAGATTATCTGGATACACCTTTGTTTTACACCCTTCTAGCCTAACATCAGGTAAAGATCTGTTGAGTGCAATCATCTCGCTTGCCATTAAGTTGAACTGATTGATTTTAAGAACAGGGATACCTAATATTAACCTATTGTAACCCCACTAGTTTTTCCCTCAAATCTTCAGTAAAATTCTGCTCTACAGATGATCTAGTGCCAGTAGTATTTTGAAGAACTCAAGAAACTAGGTGGTGTTCCATGTAGATGGTATGTTGTAAATGGATCAGTCAGCAGAGACAAAGCAGTCAGCAGAGTAAAAATAGAGTCATAGATTATAAGGCAAGAGGTAAAGTGTCCAAGAAACCTTAGAAATAATGGAGACAATACTGTGCTCTTCTCATTTGATATAGGGTGGAGGTTTAAGACCATATCCATTAAATCTTAAAGGATGAGGGATTCCCCAGTAGGCTAAAGGACTTTGGGACATCAAGACAGCTAAACCTTGAATTACACTGCTGTGACTATTCTAAATAGGTTGTGTTTATGATATTGTCTCCCAGCTGGATTGCACATTTTTGCAACTAGAAACAATAAAAAATGAAGTTGCATGGCATCTTTCTATGTATGAATGTCTTCTTTACATTAATTCATTGGAACTAACAATTTTTTTTTAGTATTTGTTGGTCTCTCCCTTCCCCCAATGCCCATAAATAGTTTTATTGGCACCCCACCATGCCCACTCATTTACCTACTGTCTGTGACTGCTTGGGCATAGTGAAGTTGTGCAATAGAGACCACGCAAAGCTGCAAACATTTGCTATATGACCCTTTAGAACAGTGGTTCTCAACCTTTCTAAGGCCGAGACCTTTTAATACAGTTTCTCATGTTGCGGTGACCCCCAAACATAAAATTATTTTCGTTGCTACTTCATAACTGTAATTTTGTTACTGTTATGAATCGTAATGTAAATATCTTTGTTTTCTAATGGTCTTAGGCTCTACAGCAGCAGTTCTCAACCTGTAGATCTCCACCCACAGGTTAAGAACCGCTAGCAGGGTCGCCTAAGAAAACACAGATATTTACATTATGATTCATTAACAGTAGCAAAATTACATTTATGAAGTAGCAACGAAAATAGTGTTATGGTTGGGGTCACCACAATATGAGGAACTGTATTAAAGGGGTGCGGCATTAGAAAGGTTGAGAACCACTGCTTTATAGGAATGTGGAGAGCGGCTACAGTGTTTGGACAGGTTCAAGCCTCAGACTAATGAGAGGGCACGGTCCTCTCATGGCAAAGTCACGTGCAAGTCTCAGCTTGGAAGGCAAAGCCTTCCCAGAACAAGTATAGCCAAAGGTTATAGTTGTAAGCTTTACTTTATGGTCCAAACCTGTGGTCCCAGGTGGCTAAGTGATACAGGCTGCAGGAGGTGTAGCAAATGCTGTCAAAACAAAGCTTGATAGAGTCCAGGTGCATGTAATTGAGCAGATTCGAAACTCTCGAGAACATTGTAAATATCTTGTCCATGCCCTTACTTTGCCTCATGGAATCTGGCTATAAAATAAAGACTCCACTTGCAGGCTGTTGCACTGTCTCTCCATCTGAGAACAATGTCCTACCTAACCCCAGCTTTATTCTCTTGTCTGTCTACTTTTATCCTTCACTTCCCCTTCACCCCCACCCCTCAGGTTCACCCTGGCCATGCTGAGCGAGGCTCATAGGAAACTGTCACAGAGGATGAGGCCCCGGATACTAAAACGAGGCCCCTCTGTGGCCACTCTCAGGACCTCTTTCTGGCCACCCCTTTCTTCTGGCTCCTCCCACCTGCCTCTTTCCTTTGGCTACAAGCTCCCAGCTATTCTGACTGTCCCACACCACATCCAGGAGAGTTTGTCTCCTTTGGTTTTAACAGAACTTTTTGTGGTAGGTCTGATGAAATCAGTCCCCCTGCCCTCCATTTTAATGACAAGGAAATTCAGGTGGAAAGAGGGATACTTGCCCTTGGTTACAGAGATAACAAGGACATAAGCCAGGCTATGTGAAAAGGACAGAGCTTAATAAGGCTTTCTATTATCTGGGTGAAATCTAGTTTTCCAATCTCTTTCTTACCACTGTCTCATGCACCCACCCATGTATGTAATTACCCCACAGACTTTCCCTAAGAAATTGAAACCTAAGTGACTTTGAAAAAGGTACCTAACCTCTTAGAGCCTCTATTGTCAGTTATAGAAAATAAGATAATAATGGCTTCATTGAAGGGTAGTGGAGATTAAATGTCTTAATTGTAAAGCACTTGGAACATAGAGATGCTTAAGGGATGTTCTTTTCTCTCCTTGGTTCCCTGGCTTTCTTTTGCATATATCCCAATTTAAGTCCAATACTTTCTGCATAACTCTACCACATTTCTTTTCTTTTCTTTTTAAAAAAATATATTTTATTGATTTTTTACAGAGAGGAAGGGAGAGGGATAGAAAGTCAGAAACATCGATGAGAGAGAAACATCGATCAGCTGCCTCTTGTATACCCCCTACTGAGGATGTGCCTGCAACCAACGTACATGCCCTTGACTGGAATCGAACCCGGGACCCTTGAGTCCGCAGGCCGACGCTCTGTCCACTGAGCTAAACCAGTTTTGGCTCAACCACATTTCTTATATTTCTTTGCAACTTGATGACACCTGGCTCCATGTTGCTGAACATGTCCTGGGACCACAGGTAGTCTCAGAAAGGTGGGGCTACCAGTCTGGATTAGGTCTGGCTGGTAGTTTTTTGGGGTGGCCTGAGGCATTTAGACAGGTGCCCATGCCATGTTTAAGGTACAAGTCCAAAGATCAGAACTAACAGAGCCAAATCTATATTCAGGTAATTGGGGGTGATCTGATCTGGGAAGAGGGACAATTAGGTCATCAAATGGTTTTAATACAAAGATCAGACTCTTATGATGAACATTTGTCACGGACAAGAAAAGCATAGAAACCACCCATGTTACAGCTTATATTTTTCATTAGACTGAATAACTTCTACTAGTTTTATTTTTTAAAACTTAACTCTTGCTTCCAGAAAAGCAAAAGGTATATTTTTCAAAGTCCCAAATTCACTTTTTCAGTCTCAAAGCTCATGTCTATTACATTTATCAGTATATAGATTTACCCTGACTGTAAAAATCCTCTCAATGTATTTTAAGCAGGAATCAAAACAGAATATTGAAGCTGTTTTTATCACACAGAACTGCAATTTCTTGGCTGAAATAATATTTCCACTTGTCAAGAGCTATTTTACCCTCAAGGGAAGTAAACATTATGTCTGTAGCACTGAGTGCCTCACAGAGAAAAATGGAGGAGGGAGCCCTCTTTTCCATGGTGACAAGAGTAAGATTTGAATTATTCATTAAATGAAGGATATTTATTTATGATTAACCTAGCTCAGAGGATGATGTAGCACGTTTCCCAAGGAAAATATTAGCCTTCAGGTATTTGACATTTGAGAGTTACTGTATTCATGGTTTCAGAAGCAACTCTGTGAACAGGAAAATAATCCCTCAGCTACATAGCTATAATTTATAGAATAAAAAAACAATGTCAATTCATTTTCTTAGTGGATTTCAGAGACAAGTCAAATGTTTAAAAGAATATTTTAAGGTGGCTATACATGGAAGGCATTATCACTAGTCATATTTTTGTAAAGGCAAAATACTTAGCTTCAACGCATAGCTGTGTGCTGCTTGGCTGGTGGCCACAACCATTGTGAATCTGTTGCAAAACCATTTGACTGCCTGGATGCCTCATCCCCACTCCCGCTCCCGCTGCTTTGGATGGACCACAGCCCAAGGCATTGTTGAACCACTGAGATGTGTCTGGCTGTGTATCAGAGTGCTGACTGAATCTGCGGTGTTTAACAAAGGCTCAGAAGGGATAGAGAAAATGCTCCTAACACCATGTCACATAATAATCACACACAAAAATTTCACTTAATTACCATTGCTAATAATAGCTAACATTTGCTAAGTACTTACTAAATGCCAGGGACTGGGTACTACTTGACTGAGTCCTCACAAAAACTCTATGAAGTGTCTTTTAGTCAAAAAGCCACAGCCTCGAGTGGGGATCCAAGATGGCTGCTCGGGTAGACATCTAGCCGCGGCAGCACACAACAATTTCAATGGAATACAACTAAAATGTAGAGTGGACATTGCCCAGAGCTACAGGTAGTCGACTGACTGAAAATTCTACAAGAAGGAAAGAGAAAACCAGAAGGAAAATCAGAGGAGCTGAAAAAAAGCCTAAGGTACGGAGACATGCTGCGCGCCTGCCCGCACGCGCTCACGGAGAGGTCGCAGCCTGAGAGGAGGAGAGGGCGGGGTGCTGCCTTTCCTTCACTAGCAGGAAGGAAATAAAACCCCCAGCCTGGGCTGAACCCCCGAACGGGCAGCGCTAGCCCCCCGAACCGGCAGCGCTGAGCCCCAGTTATGGGCCAGACCCTGGGGACCCAGGCTCCGGTGGGAGGAGACGGGGCTGTGAGGCGGAAAAGCGGCGAAAAGCAGGGCCCCCAGAGTCGTGCGCAATGCGAGCGCAGAGGACTGAATGTTGACTCTGATGCTGGGTTACCCTAGCCAGAAGAAACAAGGCCTCCAGTGGCGCTGGGCCTCAGTCCGGACTGCTCCGAACCC